GTTGGGGCAAACAAGTCCCACATTGATTATGGGAAGAAAATAAATCCACCATATAACCCAAGTGGGCTACTCCACCCATTACCAATTGGTTTTGGGATGGAACCTCACTTAGACCTGGTGGAGTGGGCTTGAGCCTTGGGTAATTGCTCTCAATAATTCCCTAACAGACAAAATGTCCACTGTAACTCTTTTGGAAGTCCAGAATGCTAGAGATAGCAAAACGTCAAGCCAATGACCAAATTTGAGACTGGGTCACTCTTAAAACCACGCTTCTGCATAAGACCGATTAATAGTTTATTATTGGCCCTCAAAAACGACTTTAAAATTCATTAGTCGATGCAAACATTTATTTACTGGATTTCCACAATCACAAACACTTCAATAATTGAACTTCAATATTTCACAAAGTTTAATTGAAAAATATCACATTAAACATACGTTAACCGAAACATGCTAGCAACAAAAAATTATTTTAATATCTCAATACCTCACCAAAGAATCCAATAAACTTTTAAATTAGTGGCTCGTCCCGCTCAACAATGTTTCGTCTCCTTCAACGGACATTTAACTTTTGAGATCTTAGAACCACAAAAAAGAACACTATAATATCTAAAAAAGTACGGGTTTCAGCCATTTATTTCACACTTTGCAGTGCTTATCCTAGGCCAGTTGAGATCAGAGCTTTCTTGAATTCAGTTACGTGTATTATAGAGTAACATATGCTCATTCCAATACTTCTAAATGGACACTAGTCAATAATAGTGCGTTTAATTACTTCGGATCAGAGACGTATAAAATCTTACAAAAACTAAAATGTAGAAGAAAACCAAGACAACACCATAGAGCAGCCATATGCGCATCCTGATTCATTCCATGTAGGAGACAGTAAAGAATAAATTCCAATTGGACAGCAAACCTATCCTGTGCAGCGGTCAGAATTTCAGTATTGCATTAAACTGAATTTGCAAATTAGAATTCACAAAAAAGAAATAACAATTCTTTTGTGATTGACTCGTTCTAGACACAAACAGAAATTAGGATTGAATCACCTGTCTACCAAGGTAGAAAAATGTCTTTCTCCTTTCATAAAAATAATTTCCTTAGGTTGAAAAATATACGAAGAAGAGAGAAGCAAAAAACACTACGTCTGTGAAATCTAAATCTTAGTATTTCATGAGTAGAAGAAGCTATTAATTATCAAATATTTCATGGAGAACAAACTTTTATTAATCTTTCAAGAAATAATTTTTTCATAGCGTACCTTTGTTGGCCAATTTTTCAGACGGCAGTTCATAGACATTTTGATTTTTTCTTGGGTTGATAGTTTCACCTCTTATATAGTTTAGAATCTCCAGAGCAGCCTGTAAATATTGTGGATATGTATGCATTCAGCAAACATATACTATCGAAAATCTACATATAATTTGGAGGAACATGACAAGAAGCCAAATGACATTGTGTA